ACACTCTGGGGCGATGGTGTGGGGTTAAAGTCTCAAGAGGCGTACGCCCAGCAATTCGGGGCATATGCTCGGGCATACGCCTGGGCATTCAGGGCGAGTTTTTTAGTGAGACGTAAGCCCTAGAGATGTTTTTAAATTAAAACAAAATTTGTTGAGTAAATCCTTCATATATTATCCAAATTTTCAAAATTCAGCTTAGTAATTACTCAAAAGTTTTAAAAAGGAACTAAAATGTATTAAATTTAAAAGTCAAGACCTTTTTATTGATCGAAGCCCCAATTCATGGTTTTTTCCAATTTTTTATCTTGTCCGCTAGTCTACTAATATCTCTTAAAAGCAACGAATATTTAATTTTTTTTACAAATATAAAGAGAACTCCATTCTCCTTCATATCAGCAAGTTCACAGTTCAAATTGAAGGTTAGTCATCCTTTTTGTTCCTCCATGTAGAAATCTTTATTCTTTTCGACTCAAGTTACTTGAACTTCTAAGTAGCGTATAATAGATTGTTTTGACTAATTTTTTGTGGGGATGAAGCACACATATATATATTTCACATATTTACAGTTTTCTTCATTTTTATGCAATTTTACCTGTTTATAAATATTTACTGTAATTATACTATTTTATAAAATATTAAAAATTAAATACCTATGGGGCTTACGCCTCGCTGAGGTATATGTAAAATGTCTCGCCTTACGCCCACGCTTTTTAAAATACTGGGGGAATTACCCCTTAGGATTTGGGATTGATTTGTTATGTGAAAGTCGTGTAGTGTAAGGTGACGAATGGTTACACGGGCTATATGTGATTTTGGCCGATTTTGGCTATTTAGACTCTTTCCATGCCTTTAATTAAATTGGCATAACATGTCATATCCCTTATTGTTAATCAACTCTTTCATGTGTTAATCTACCCTTACATACTTTAATTGACATTGTTAACGCTTGTTCTATTTCTTACTTGTTATTTTGCTCTTATATGCTTAGTTGAAGTTATTGCCTTATTGCCCTGTTACCTCCTAAATTGCTGAATTACTTTTATTTGAAATTGTTATTTCGTAAAATATCTTCTTGTTGAGTTATTGGTGTTGAAGTTATAAAAGTTGTTATCACGTTGAGGTCAAGTTGTTAGTTGTTGAAATATCGTTCTTGTTGAGCAATTCACATTCATTTTGTTATTGTTGAGATTCTTATACACATTGTGGTTGAGCCATGAGCTAGTTATTGTGGAAACATTGGCATTGTTTATTTTTGGCAAGTTGTGGTATATGGGCACTTATGGTGCGAGTTATTATTGTGTTGTGATATTGATGCGCATGCGGGGTATAAGGATAGGGATTAATATGCATGTAGCGGCATAAGGCGGGATTTATGTGCGTGTTGCTAGTAAGTGAATTACTTGAAGCCACGCGATGACATAAGGTGACCTAAAGTGTGTGTAGCTATTTCAGAAAAAATATTTTCAAAACTATCTAAATGTAAGGCTCACGCATCGGTATAAGGAAAGATTGTGATTGAAATTAAAAAATGTGAATACGAGGCGGTACCTCAGTTGTGGTTCTTATTGTGCATCTCATGTTGAAAAGAGTTATTGGTTGAACAGTTCTTGTTGCTTTTATTCTTCCTTGTCTTATCATTTTTTGTCCGTATTTGACTATTTCCTATTATTTGCTTCCTTCTTGTGTCTTTATGCCTACAATTCTGTCATTAGTTTACGTTATTAAATATTTTCGTTATCATTCATTTCTCCGTTTTCTATTACTTCTTGTTATTATATTTTTGTTTTGTTTATCATATTCTAGTAGGTGTCTTGGTATGACCTCGTCACTACTCTACCGAGGTTAGTCTTGATACTTATTGGGTACCGTTGTGGTGTACTCATACTACGCTTCTGCACATCTTTTGTGCAGATCCAGGTACGTTTGCTCGTGCTGGACTTTACTGATTGACTTATTAACTGCCTTCCGGAGACTTCAAGATATACATGCTCGGCGTCCGCAAGCATCAGAGTCACCTTCCATTATCTTCTCATTTTGTTGTTTTGTTTATTAGACAGTGTTGTAGTAGACGTTTTAGAATATTTTGTAGAGCTTATGACTCTGTTCCACCGGTTTTATGTTGTTGAGGTTATATTTTGGAAGTTATTATGAGTTTATCTGTTTTAATTTAGTATCTCAATTTGGTTATTCCTGTTATGTTATTATTAAATGTTAGGCTTACCTTGTCTTTGAGACTAGGTGCCATCACGACATCCGAAGGTGAAAAATTGGGGTCGTAACAAGATACTTCTACCCGTTCAAACGTAATATTTTAAACTCTTCTGACCGTGTGTGTTCCTCAATCATCTCACTGTATTATTCACGTCGGATAAAAATATTCCACGTCATTATTTTTATTCACAAAAACTATTTTTGGGAAGAAAAAAAAGTTCTAAATATTATATTTAGAGGATATTAGGCTATTCTGCCTTATAGTAAACTTCATAAGTTCTAAATATTAAGACATCGTACATAATTCAATCAAGAAAATATTTAATAACCAAAATTTTAGTCGATTTCAAACTATTAGGAAAATAATTAAATTACAACTTTGTCCAATATAAAATATATTTATAAAGGGTACAAAAGGCGAACGATATTTCACTAAGGGCCTTCGTGCTTTTAATATAGTACTAGTCTTTGGTACTTATCTCAATAAATTAATTTTTTTTTTAAATCATAAATATTATATTATAAATTGTATAACAAAAAATTAATATTATAAAGATAAAGAAGATAATATTCATAAAAAGGAATTAGAAATAGAAATATGATATGCTTTCGATCTCCATTATGGTTTATTCAAAGCTTCAATCACACCACGTACACAAAAATACTAGAGAAGAAGTAGTGTGTGTATATATATATATGTATATATATATTAATTGAGCAAATATACTTAACCAAATAGATTTAAAATTGAAGTGCTTTGGTGAACCCTAGAGAAATTGTGTTGTGATTTCCATTATTAAAGATCTATATTAGTATTAGGGGTGTACATAGGTTGGATTAGTTCGGTTGTATCATCGGATAAAGAGTTGAAATAAAGACTTGCACAACTATTCTTTATGTGTTTAAAATAAACTAAAAATTTCACAAAGAAATCCTAAATTTTAAAAAAGTAATTTATTAATGAAACCTTTAGTTGGTTTTAAAATCTTAAATATTCAAAAATAATTTTAAATTACAAAATTTTATTGTAACATTTATCTTTAGGTAAAATAAAATTATTTTCAAATTATAAAGTTACTTTTAACAATTTCTGACGTAAATAAAAAAGAAATATAATAATTGCGTAGATGGTAATAATTCAAATAGGGGAGGACATAGTAGATAAATATTCAAATAAGGAAAGGATTTACGTAAGGTAATAGATTTAAAGTACCATTTATTAGAAAATAAATTTAATTACAATTATAATTAGTTTACATAATAATATAACCTAACTCTAAAAAAAATTATATTATGTATAATACTTGCAAATTGCTATGAAACCCCAAGATATTTATTTACCAACTATCATCTCTTTGATTACCTAGAATACTACAGCAATTAACTTTGCATAATCTTAAGATCATCAACGTGTCTATATTGGAACTTCGTTTAAAGAATTACAATATTGGTTTACTTCAAATTCATATATATTAGATAGTCTATACGGGCCAAATAATAAAAAAGAGAATATTTCATATTAGGACTTTCTACCTAGTTAAAATTAATAATCAAAATTCTAGTTGATTGTAGTATCCAAAATATTAGGAAGGTAACCTAAATTACAATTTTGTTCAATGTGAACTTTATTTTTAAAGGGTAAAAAAGGCGAATGAGATTTCGCTAAAGGCTTTCGTGATGGATAGATATAGATTATATATTTGTATATAAAGCATGTACATAATGTAAATAGTTGTGTATAATAGCGTATAAGAGTATATTATAATAGTGTATAATACTCTATTGTACAATATTATACACTATCATATAAAAATTGACTATGTCTTCTTCCTTGAATAGCTTCTGAAATTTTACTCAAATCTACTCTAAATCACTTCAAATTTAAGATTTGAACTCTTCATGATATTTCCAATGGACGGGAACAACACCGAATCCAAATAACTTAAAATCCTGAAAAAGGCCCAATTTTCGAAATGGGTCAAAAACATCATCAAATGGATTATAAATTCTAGGATGCTCTTAACCCCAAATAAAATCTTCATTCTTTCCATAAGCAGAAGTATGAGTAGAGCTGCTCTTACAAAAAGTTGACCAAATCTGACCACTATCACTATTTTGTGTTCTCTTCCTTTGTTCTCTTAAAATGCTTAGTTTGGTCGTGCCTCTGTTTCGCTGTAAAATTGTCATAAGACAAAACTTTAAAATGCTCTTTAGAGTGGATCGTGGATCAAACAGTTGGTAGCTGATCTCTTCTTATGAGTTTGTTCGCCTAAAACCAAAGAAATTTTACCGTCCGTCGTCAAAAAAAAAAAAGAAGACTAATCTCATTTAGATTGCTTTTACCTTTGCTACTGCAGTTTCCATCAATCACTAATCAAAATTCCTGATTTAAAAAAATGGGGATAGTAATGAGGGTTAAAGGATGAAAATGTACACCCTGGGCTAATCCGGGTTGAAAGCAAAAATATGGGCCAAAATCGGTTGGGCTGTTGGCCCAACAGACAAAGAGTGTATTTTTTTCCATTATTTATCTTCGTAGAAAACAACCATTAGGTTTATAATTCCTAAATAACAGATCCGTGTACGGTGTACCAAACAACCAGTTCGGGTTTAGACACTCAATTTCTCAAGTAATTTCAAAGAATGATCTGTTTCTTTGGCAGAGTTTTCTTGATCCCTTGATATATCACACGATATAGTAATCAAAAATCGAAATAGCTGAAGAACCTTAGAAAACAGGCAAAATATAAACAGTTAAATAATAAATATTACTATGAATTACCAAGCAGTAATGTCAATATTAAACCATAAAATGACTACTATAATTGGAAAAAAACTGTCTTTGAAGAAAGAAAGAACCCGGACCTTTTGCTAGTAACGAATAGTAGGAATTAATTAAACCATAGTGGCAACTATTAAAAGCATGGACAACCAAAGCTTAAAAGAGAAGATCATTTCTGAGGATCCACTTGCAGCAGGAGATGGTGAAGGTGCCCATGTTGATGATGGAGTAATTGGCTCCAATGGAGAATTAGGCTTAGGCGAAGGCGACGACGAGGACGAAAGTGAGGATGAGGGCGAAGACAATGGCGAGGACGAAGGCGAGGACGATGATTTCGTTGGCTTAGGAACTCTGATGTCAATTTTCTGGCCATTTTGACAATGGCCAGGGAAGCTGCAAATGAAGTAGAAATGGCCTGGCCTTATGATCACAAAGGTGTCATTGCCAGTGTTAAAGGTGGAATAAGTTGTTGTCGCATTGCATGCATTGAAGTTCTTGTGTGTCACTCGAACCACGTTGTGGAATTGCTTGTTGTACTCAAACACTGTCCCAAAGAACACAATAATAAGGGTATAACTCAAAATCAAAAGCGAATACATAGTAATATACATTAACATCCAAAAGTATCTCAATTGGTCGGTTATAATTAATGTCATTTTCAAAGAAGGAAAACTCTTGGTGGTTAATTTCATACCCTAATAGGACCTTATTCCCTAAAAGAAAAACTCTACTGATAATTTATAAAGTAAGAATAAGTAAATCCATATTATAATATATTTGTATACAACTACAACGTAACGAAGTAGGCCAAAGTTTCGCAATACATTAGAATAAAAGATTCTATTTAGTTCCTTGATAAATTATATGATTACTGCTATTTTAACAACAATTTTCCATATGAAGTTCTGCATGTAATAGATGGTGATATTAAACACTGTTTTAATATTATGAATTTGGTTATTTTCGCCTAAAAGAGAATTTAATTACTTTTGCTATTTGATCTAAAGCAGAGAAAACATATTAACACTTCATAAAGGCCGTACAATCATTGGATTTTATGCGGCCTAATTTACTTTTGCATTGAAAGTTCATATAAGCATACCTAAACTTGGTGTTCTTCTGCAAGGAACACAGAAAAAAGATAGATCTATCATCTATGCATGTGACCAAATCTTTTCTCTTGTTCTTAATCCCCTTGGGTGAAAAAAAGCATCTCTACCATTACTCAGTTTTATATAAAATAATGTTAAAACTTTTTAATGACATAGATCCAAAATCCCATCACATTTCTATTTCGAAGAGTATGACTCTTTATTTTTAAGTGATATAACAAAGTAAATACTTTTTTTCTCTATATCGCCATCTCATCATGGTGAATAATTACCAAGCCTACACTTTTGTGATACAATTCCTTTTAGTAATTCAACATTCACATGCCATGAGTAAATTACTTACCAATGGAATCGCCAACACGAAAATTCTTACTGGCAGACCAAGATTTGTAGTCAAAGTGACCAATGTCTGCCCACCCAGTGGAGTCACCAACCTTGTATACTTCACCCTTTGTTACGCCACAAAATACCAGAACCATCAAAAACAACAGCATGGCTTTCTTCGGCAGAGTCATAGCTAATAATTAGTCAAAAGAAATCGAGGCACAAATAAGTTTCGAAAGGTGAGTGAATGAGAGTGTCTAGTTGTATATAACAACCAGTTTTATCAGTTTTTGGAAAGAAAAAGATTTTGTTAATTGTATATAACAACCAATTTTATCAGTTCTTGGAAAGAAAAAGATTTTGTTAGAATTTACCATTTGGGCATATGTGATTTCTGGTAGCTCCTTTAATTCTTTTCAATTCATGATTTTCTTTCCTTTTTTACTACTGATGTTAATTGATACTCACGTAAGTTATTAATGGTTACATCTGTCATTCCAACCTATCATTGTGATTATTATCAGCGATTTGCATTTTTTTTTTCTAGTTTATGTTTGGGAGTACGTTTTATACTCTTATGTCTCTTTCACTTTTTTTTTCCGACGGAGATCAAAGATTCCAAAGGCCTCAAATCTAGTTGAGAATAATAAAATACAGGATTTTATTTACATAGACTTAACTTATTTTCCATATCACTTATTCCAACTTATTTTATAAAATATTATTTGTACCTATCTTTTAGGTGTCATGATAGTTTAAAAATTCTTTTACAGTGTTAGTGATTAGAAGTTAAAACTCTAGAAGAATCATCCAAGAGGACAACTCAATCGTTAAGAGACTACAAAACAGAACGCAATGCACGAGTTCGAATAAATTAAAATCTACTAGCATTCCCATACAGACTCATACTAGAACCCAATAAAACAATGGCTAATCACCAAAATGCTCCAGATCATGAAAATTAAACTACAACATCATATTATAGCACAGTACAATTAAAGTAAATAAACTGAACCAATAACAATCATTAACAAAGTGAGGGAAAGCCTAAGCCCATTATTCAAGAACAATGAGGGGGCACTGCTCTTTGTGACTGGGCTAGGTGCAATTACATGCCCATTAGTAGTAGATGAGGCTGGAGCTGGACTTGGGCTTTTACTACTGAAATCAGTGGGCTCAGAAACTTTAAGGACCCTGACATCAATCTTCTGTCCGGCCTGGCAATGGCCTGGAAAACCGCAGATATAGTAGTAGTGACCCGGACCTTTGATGGTGATGGAGTCGTTGCCGGAGGAGTAAGTGGCGATTGGATTTGCAGCGTTACACGAGTGGTAATCGGGGAGGCTCACTCGTAGTACGTTGTGTTGTGTTCGGTTGTACTGGAAAACTACAGTACCATTTGAAGTTGAAATCAATGACAAATGCTACAATGTGGTAAATTTTGATTTTTATCATCTCACATATCATGAATTTTTCAGGTTATCATGTTATTGTTAAAAGCATTTAAGTAGTACTAAACTAGACAAGTTATACAAGATACAAATTATAGGTAACCTTAGAGAAAAGAAGATATCGATATACTAACCTTAATAAAGGAAATTAGTAATCAGGAAAAATAAGTCAAACATTCTAATTTCTATATCAATAACAACGTTCTAGAATCACATCCACGACTCTAGTTCTCTCACAAGATGTATGATAGGTATATGTATAATATATATATACGTATTCAAACTTACTTTATGTAAATCATGATTTTATTCAACTTATTAAATTTAAATCCTGAATCAAAGAGTACAACTCGATCAAGCATCAGTTAACAATAGTGTTACGAGTACGAAATTTAGTGGAAAGACACAATTTGTTTCTCAATTAAATTGGTTTAATTTTATCACAAGGGGACTACTCAATAGCCCCTAATTTCACGATCAAGAATCTCAATAATTAGTTCTTTGTTCATAAAATTTTCATGCTCTCTACTAACCAAGTGAAAAAGGAAAAAGAACTGCCAAATGTCAATTATCTAAACAATCTTGTGTTACAAGTAGTTAGCCGTGAACCTCAATCGAACACAAATTGCTGGAAGATCTAAAATGATCGTATGGACTCAGGAAATTGAAACTAAAACGGAAGCTTTATACAGAAGGCGGACTTACCGAGAATGTCGCCGACCCGGAAAACTTTAGAAGAAGCCCACATATGGTAGTCAACATTGGCGCCGCCGATCGTCCAACCAGCAGCATCACCCACTTTGTACACGGCGCCGCCGCCTAGCGTGGCTGTAAACAAACTAAAAACAGCCATTGTTGAGAGCAAAAACATAGCTTCATTCGTAAAAACCATGATTCAACAGCCAACAGCAAAAAGAATTCCAGTAATCTATAAAAAGTAACTTAGAATTCAAATGAAAGGAGCGAGTTACACAGAAGTGTTGTTATGGAATCGATAGGAAATGCATTTCACACTGTCATTATATAACGCTTCTGCAGACTGAGTGAAGAAAAAGCCAAGACTTGGTCTTTGTATGACTCACAAATATTTCGTGAATTTGGAGAACTTTGTGAGTTGGTTCCGTTGGGTAATGCATGCGAGATATATGCCTTTGTCCAGATAGGCTAGTCATTACCCATGTGTAGGGTGACAAAAGTTAACCGCCCAGTTTATTCACTAAAAAATGGGTTGGATAATAAATTTTTTAAAAACGGGTCAAATATGAATAATAATCATATTACCCATTTGGATAATAACTAAATGGATAACTAATGAGTTTAACTTTTATATTTGTAAAACCTTAAATTGGGGTTCCTCAACTTTGGGAGATTAGGAATTCTCACAAAAGTGATCATATTCATGAAGCCATAAATAATATGATTACGCATATTGTCCGCCGGTTAACCCGTTTTTTATCCGTATTAAATATGGATCGGATCGAATAATTTATCCATTTTTTTCATTACCCATTTTCGACCTGCCCCCTATCCGACCCGCCCGTTTGTCACCCCTACCTATGTGGATGAAATACCAGTACAAGGCTGCTCACTAATGTGACATATATGTCAAATGATCAATCAATTCAGATACGAATTCAAAATTTTAAATTAATACGTAATGCATGGACATGGTCTCGTTGATTTATTTTCTATGGGAACATCAAGTAGTGGAACTTGATTATGAACGTGTTAATCCAAGAAGAGAATGCTTTATTTAATTCTATTGTTTTTTATAACAATGGAGGAATTTCATACCCTCCTTGTTTAACCCAAAAATAGTTTTTATGGTCAAAACTAATATTAAGAAAAATTGGGTTACTGATAACCAAAATTACTTCACTTTCTTGATAATATAGAAATAAAGTAAACAATTGAGATAATAAGTAAAGGAAAGAAAGCTTATCTTTTATTGCTAATCTCCCCCAGAATTGCGGATTAGAATCTTGAATCAAATAAAAAAAATGATTGATTGCATAAATTTAGAGATATTCAGATGAAAGTACAAAATGAGGTATGGGTCCTTATATAAGGATACACAGTTGTAATGGTTTTCCTACTTAATTCTGACTCGTTAATGGCATTAATTGCCTTGATTGCCCGTTACCAAATTTACTTGTAACGGTTATAGTAATAACAGAGGATCACACGTAATCAAAGCTAATGTTGATTCCCCTTCCATATTTACAACCAATTCATGAATCTTCCCATTTTATGGTCTTCATACATCTCGTGCCTATTTCCTCTTTTTCAGTTATCAGATCTGGTACCTTCTCTGATAAAACAATGTGGGTATTTTATCTGTGTCTTTCTGTCTTTCTTTATTGACCTAATTATAAGTGCCACGTGTCACCTCGTTGTTGGTCCACGTATCATGCCTTTTTTTCACCAATACAGATAGTCTCCCACTTTCTGAATAGTTCATAATGACGGTTTCTAAATGATGTTTTTTTTATTTTTCCTATAAATACCATATCATACACAACTTTGAAAATCTCTTCTACCTCCTTGCATCCATATTCTAACTTCGTCTTATAGTTCTCTTTCTTTCTCTGTGTTTTCACCATTAAAGATGTCTTCTCGTTCTTTAAACCCTTATTCATCATCGGACCCCCGTAAGATAGTGATTATTGATGAACTTTCCCTCTCTTCTGCTCCAATTTGAAGTAGAAGAGGTGGCAGACTTTGTAGCTTAGGCTCTTTTCTACCCCTTCTCGGAGGGATACTGCCAAATCTTCCTCCTCTAGAGCTAGAACTTCCATAACCCATTGTATCTGAGATTGTTCCTCAAGAATTTTCTTTCATACCAAACTGTAAAACTATGAGAAAATAGGTTTCTTTCATGGCATCACTTAACCCTGCTGATCATTACCCTAGTTTGATCACTCCTGGCCTCCTTTCCTTGGTCCGTCGTGAATGCAATTGGAAACCAGATTTCCCAGTGATGACCTCTAGTGCTGATAATAGAATTACCTCTTATCATGAAGGTTATTCTTTTGTTTATACCTATGCTTTTACTTTAGGGTTTAACCCCCCTATTGACCCCGTAATCATTGAATTTTGTCGTTACTTCAATGTCTGCCTTGGCCAAATAGGTCCGATCATGTGAAAGGTAGTAGCTTGCCTCTGTTATTTGTCAAGTTTGGTTTTTGCTCCTTTTACTTTTCGTCACTTACTCCACCTGTACTCCCCAAAGCTCTTTCGCGGGGATGATTTCTCTCTTGTGGCAAGAAGTAAGAGAGTTTTAGTTAGCCCCGAGGATGACCATGACCGTGGCTGGTATGTCCGGTTTGTAGATGTTCTCACTCGTGACTTAGTGGATGATGAGAATGTGCCCTTCCTGAGAAGTGAAACTTTGCACGTGGGTATTTTTCTCTATTTCTTTATTTCTCCTAGGGGTGTTCATGGTTCGGTTTGGATCGATTTTTCTCTAAAAAGAAGCCAAACCAAGTAAGTCGGTTCTTCAAATATTGGAACCAAACCAAACCAATTAAGTCGGTTTTTTATCGATTCGATTCTTGTCGGTTTTTATCGGTTTTTCGGTTATTTATCGATTTTTTTCTTAAATATGAAACATACACTACCAAACACATATTCCGGTGATATTTTCAACGTAACACTATCAAACTAATTGCTCTTTGATAAATATATCATTTACCAAAATATATTGATGATAATTGAATCAAATAGTGATGAATAATTTAAGTACTCANACTATACCAAACCTAAAAAGTATA